GTTTTAGCAAATATGTGACCTGCTGCTCCGACGAACAGAAAGTCAAGGTATCATCGACATATCGTTTGTAGTAGGGCACCTGGGCTATTTTCGTAGAAATGCTTCTTTCTACTATCAGCATGAAGAAATCAGCGAGCACAGGATCTAATGGGCTACCCATTGTCCCATTTTTAAGAGGTGATAAGCAGCTCCCTGATAACTATACACCGGTCAGTTTAACGAGCGTGCTGGTCAAGTTATTGGGAAAGCTCGTGAGGGACGCTCTCGAATGACACGTGAAAGCGTTCGAGTTGCTTAATCTTTCTCAGTACGGCTTTCGTAAGTGTTATTCTTGCCTTACTAACTTGTTAACCGCTCGTGAACACGGGGCCGAAGCCGTTGATTGCGGGAAGGCAGTGGACTGCTGTTCATGGACTTTTCCCAAGCTTTTGACACTGTTCCACATTCGCGCCTTTTGTACAAGCTGAACTCCTGTGGTATTTCTGGACCCGTCCTACGATGGATTTCAGCTTTCCTAATCGGAAGGGAACTGTGTGTGCGGGTGGGTTCAAGCCTGTCCTTCCGCCAACGTGTTCTCAGTGGCGTTCCGCAAGGTTCGGTTCTTGGCCCCCCTTCTCTTCACTTTATACGTTAATGAACTACCTGATGAATTGGGTGTGCCATCCCTAATGTTTGCGGATGACTTGAAACTCTGGTTCACGATAGACGATCTAATCGGTCCACTGACCCTACAGGAGACTCTGGATAGACTTTGGGACGGGTCAATTTTGTGGCAGTTGCCCGTTAATTTAGCGAAATGCTCATTTTTACGCGTTGGTCCGAATAACCTGTCGACGCGTTATTTGCTTGGCGGTAACGAGATACTGCGAGTTCAACTCCCATCTGACCTCGGTGTTTTGCTGTCATCCGACTTTAAGTCCAGTGAACACTGGACGACAGCTGCTCGCAGATGTTTCAACATGTTGTGGATGATACATAGGTCATTCGGGATCATGACCACTGGCATGTTCGTTATACTATTTTCGGCTTTTGTAAGGCCGCACTTGGAATACTGCGTTCAGGCTTGTCCTGGTTCATAATAAGATGACAGTTGAACGAGTAATGCGGTCCGGGACGAAAATGGTGCACGGATTAAAGAAGCTGACGTACCCTAAAAGGCTACGTAAGTTGGATATGTTTTCCATGTATTACAGGCGGCTTCGGGGCGACTTGGTTCTCACATATGGTATATTGATGGGTCATGATTTGACTGGACTGTTTCGCCCAATTCGAGTGCCAAAATTTCGTGGCCACCCATTAAAGTTGCACAAACCCCGGTCAGACCGGGTTTGGGCAGCTTTTCGGTTATCGCGTAGGGTCATACTTATTGGAACGCATTGCCTGCAGACGTCGTGATGGCACCGATGGTGAGAGTTCGAGCATCGACTTGACGCTCTCGGTCTGCAGTTTAAAGTATTCCCCTTCAGTTCTTAAACTTTTCTTCGTCTACTAAGGCCTACGCTCCTTTAACTCATTTTAACTTACATCTTAATATTGCCTGCGATATCCGATAAGCTTGTCTTCTCTGTTCCCTTTTCTTTACTGACACTACTGTTTCCTTTTATACTTCACGTGGTCGGCACAGCGGGGACTGCTAGTGCAGGGCACGTGGGCAGTTTGGTTGATCATGTGAATCGTGTGTGTTGATTTGGCCCTGTTGGATCAACGGCGTTTTCCAGGGTGGAACATTCGCGGGATTTTCCTACTGTTCCGGTCCCACTTGAACTTGAAATTGGTAGCGAACAGCAACCGTTTTCAGATAAGTCGCACAGGTATTCTACCATCTGATGTAGCGGGACGTTGGCAAATAAGGATTCTACATCTAATGAACATATGACTTGGTCTGACAGATTGATTCCATTCAAAACCCCGTTGAGTTGAAACGAGTTTAAGACTGTACGGATTGAACTGTTGTTTCAGCGAAGATAGCAACTTCATTAACTAACGAGCAAGTTTATGCTGGGGTGCGTTCATCATTGAAAGAATTGCTCTGTGTGGCACTTCACTCTGGTGTCGTTGGGGACCCATACAACTGTGGTTGATTGGATGCCCGCTCAAGTCCCGTTGGATAGTTGGTGGGGACATCAAGATAACAATAATGATGATAAGGATATTAAAAAAGTTATTACTTTAAATATGAAAATAAGGACTCATTGTTTGCTTCGCTGCAGTCCTGCCATCCTCTTAGATTCACAGCACCCACAGTTAACAACAAATAATTCCATGGTAAACTCCAAGTGTAGGATGGAGACGTAGTGTTAAGCAACAAAGTGTAAGTGTCTGAGTGTATCGTCCGTCTTTTAAATATTGTTAGTGTCAGTGCAGAGACGATCGATTCTGAGAGAGCATTCCACGGGTGACAGACACGGATGGAAAAGAAATTTCTGCGGCATTCCAGACGACTGTATTGTTCTGCGAGTTTTAACGAGTGGCCCCTCAGGTTTGTATTGCTGCTGAGTTGCAGTAAATGGCGGCACACATGATGTGGGTCTCGCAGAATCAAGTATGCCATAATCAGGTCGCCTCATAGTCTTCGATAGCTTCCACTGAACAATCCCAGTCGTTGCAGCCACTCCTGGTAGGAAAGATTGCGCATTCCAATTACGTACTTAGATGTCCGGCGTTGTGGCTGTTCTAGTGCATTAAGATCTTGTTTCAGCCATGGATGCCAGACTTGAATTGCATATTCGACATAAGGGCGTACATACGCACTGAGCACTTGTGGAAATATGGAGATGTTCATTTGTCCAAACGCCCGCCTCAATAGCCCCACGTGTTGGTTCCCGGTCTTCGAGACCTTTTCGGATTGCCTGGAGCAACCCAAGTCATCTTGAACCAGGACACCCAAGTCACGTTCGAGAGTTGATTGTTGCAGTACATACGTTCCTAGTCTGTACGAGTGGCTGCTTTGATGTCGGATGGAAAGAACCTTGCATTTACTGACGTAGCAATGCAATAGGTTTTGGGTCGACCAATGATACACTGTATATAAGTCACTTTGAAGCACGTGTTGGTCAACGTTCGTTTGAATCCTGCGCCAGATCTTGATATCGTCGGCAAACATTAGGAAGTTTGAAGCGATTCCCTGTGCAAGGTCATTAATAAACAAAAAACCAAAGTGGACCTAGAACCGAGCCTTGCGGAGCAACACACTCAAATTGTATGGGGTCCGATAAAGAGCTCCGAACTCTGACCAATAATTTCCGTTGAAATAAAAAGTTAGCGATCCAGCATAAAAGTGGGTCTTCGATTCCGTAATGCCGCAGCTCGCATAGTAGTATCCGATGGTCTAGACGATCAAAAGCTTTGGAAAAATCTAGGTAGATCACATCAAAACCTTCTCCAACGTCGGCTGCCTCGGTCCAGGCACCGCGTGCAATTAGTAAATTAGTTGTACATGACCGCTGTCGACGGAAACCGCGCTGCTCAAGAGTGATGAGTTTGAAGTTTTACAGACAGCACACCAGTGCATCGGCAACTATGGATTCCATGAACTTGGAGAGTATAGGAAGAAGGGTTACTGGTCGGTAGTTAGAGGGCTCAGTTCTGCTTCCAGCTTTGCGAATCGGGGTAGTATTCCAAGCTTCCACATAGTGGAAACCTGGTTCTGCTATAAGCAGCGCTGGAAAAACTGAGCTAAAGAAATTGCTAGTTGCCAGGCTGCTGCTCCCAATGCCTCTGGACGAAGGGTGGTGACACCCGGCGACCTGTGTTTGCTGTGTTTTCAATAGAGCCTCTGCGGTAAAATTGATATAAGTTAGTCCTGGTGAACAGAATACAAAGCTTGGTAGATCGCTTGGTGGCCAGGTTCTTTGAAACATGGGGGCGTATTGCATTTGCAGCGCCTATTCAGCTTCCATAGCCGTTCTTGTTAGGCCATCAGCCGTTTTGAGTGGAGGAAATCCTTGCCTCACATTTTGTAGGCTATTAAAGTGCTTGTACAGCAGTTTGTGGTTAGCACTGAAGGTTTTTGCGATGTTCTGCTGATAGGCGGCTTTGTCTTCTCTTAACAGTTGAGTGCAGTG